GGTTCAATGATGCGGGCGAATAGTATGCGAACTGGAGAACTACGTTGCAAAAGACGTTTGCTATTGGGTGCGAGGGTCCCTGGCACATGTAATCCAAGGTCAGACGTCACGTGGTCCTAGTTAGTTTAGCATGGACGTCTGCTGCCTGTGCGGAGTTTGAAGTCCCGACTCAGGCGTTCAAAAAATACGACAAGGTAGTAAACTCCCATGTTATATTCCACACCAAAGTCGCACAAGGGATTCTTCCGGTAGGCACGGTGTGGCGATCGCGCACTGGCAACAACCGAACCATGCATTTCTTGCCTGGGAACCAGTTTATGACCAGTTGACTTAGATGTGCGTGAAGGGTCACTTTGTGAAGCTTTCTGGCGTTCCGGCGTACATACCAACATCGGTTGCCGACCTAAAAGATAAAGAAGTCCCCTTGTTGCAGCTGCAGGAACTGTTTGAAATGCTTCCTCTCCGTGAAATACTGATTGGTACCAATGGCTGACGTGAACCAGTTGGCTCTTACTTGGCACTTAAAACTTCCGCTTTCTGCGACAGTAATGATAGACTGCTGAAAGTTACTGACCACAAGTCGCCGCACATCAACGGAATCTGCTTCTGACGCCATCGCAAACATATTTTGACCGGGTATTCAAGCGATCATCATACGATCAGTCAGATAGGTTTTGTAGCTAGAAAATTGATACTTGATGCCTCTCACTGCCTGAATCAAACGAAAACTGACGGACAGACGGTAGCAAAGTCAGCTGGAGATGACCGCAGATACTACTGAACCGAAGTACACCTCAAACATCAACGAGACTCTAAAACTCTGCCCAATCATTTGCCAGATTGGAAGATGACCATTGAGTGGCTGTGGACGACGACTTTACCGCCGATAGGGTCGGCCGCTGGCGTGAGCTGTTCCGGTACCGCAACTCGATATCTAACCCGTTGCTCCATTGTCGTCCTCCTCAGCAGTTAGACCGCGTTCCAGGAGAAATCTTCGATATAACATGATGGCTTCCTCATAACTAGGCGTTTAGAGAGTGCGGTATTCTGATGGAATTCTACAAGTCTTGTGTTGATATACTGGTGCTCGGTATCCTTGGAGCGATGCAGTGAGCGTAAGGAGATGAGTCTCCTCCTGGTATCTCGACCTCGGGCATCCCAGCACCCGACTTCAAGGAAGGAGATAAGATAAAGTGGGTGAACTCCTGCGAAATAAACTTCATTGACGTTTCTGCAAGGGTCTTTTCTTTCGTCATCCCCACGCGATTGCTGAGTGCGGGTCACTTTAGGGCGCGAACATACCGAGTGGGCTGTCGGTATGAAAGTGAATATACGGAGCACCTATTCACACTGCGGCGCATTCTTGACTTTATTAATGGCTGCCAGAAATCAATGGCTTTTTCTTCTGTTAATCTCGTAACAGGATTCGTTTTTTTCCCATCGTTCGCGATTCCCCCCTGCGAACAATGGAATTTGCCGACGGAAATCGTCAATATGCTTTTCTCCTGGTATTGATCCACCTCTAAGCGAACTCTGGTCCACAAGAAGTTCGCTACTGTCTGATATTCGATCTGGTTTTTGACAAGGTGACATCCTGTCGCTCATTCTGTTCAAATATGCCACTGCTTGGATTTTTCAGAAGAGCCGTACATAGTTTTGACTGTGTTAGGTCGATTTATCTCATGATGTGTGACCCTGCCAGTCCTAGACTGTGGTGTCATGGATGAATCAAGTCCGTAAGTTGTTTAGTTTATCCATAAACGTTGGGTAGACGGTAATCTTTTCGAGCTGCGTCTCCGCCTAGGATGTGAAGTCCCTAGAGATTAGTGACACCAACGTGACAAATTTGACGGTTTCAAATACATTGTCAACTGGACAGAGTAAGGACAATATCATCTCCCTCATAAATTTTACTCAAGGGATTTTTGCATCTTGAGAAAGTGTCTATGAATCCTACTCGATATTATTCTCACCAAAGGTCTTCGTATACCAGGAATCCGTCCGGTCAGTTCTCCTCTATAGTTGGAAATGGTGGTCTTAAGTGAAAATCGGATAAGTATCCTTTGAGTGCAGAACACAGACGAAGTCTTGAGCGTGACAGCATTAAGATACTATGCTACGCCATCTAAACAAGAAGA